CTTCACAGCTCTCCCACCACCCCAGCCCCAATGGCCGGCGAGGTGGGACATCTCGTTTTGCAGATTCTCCAAACACAGCGTGCTGGTGATGAAGCTGGGGACAAACCTGCAACAGCACCCGGTGAGGACAGCCCAGACGCCCTCCCCCCCCGGGCTTTCCAAGAGCCATGGGCATGAGGAAGGGGACACCTTTACACCAAAAATTATTCTGAAGATGCGAATGCCTTACAGAGGGCACCCATCACTTTAACTCTGACAGTATCAGCACATCCCCGCTTTGGCAGCTCCCCTGTCCTCTCCCACCAACAAGGCGGCTCTCGCTGCAGCCGCTGGAGCATGCCGTGCTCAGGGCCACCCTCCCCAGCACTTCAGCCATGCAAGACAAGCCACGTACAAGTCCTCCGCCAGCCACCCACGAGGCACACGTGCCAGCAAACCTTGGTGGATTCAATTAATTGAGAGGGAGGATTGATCCAGGCCCCCCCCCCCGAGCCCTGCTCGAGCTGCAAGGTTGGTGCAGTTCTCACCAACCTCTGGACCAGAACCAAGAGCATGAAAAACACCGCTTTCATCTCAGTATCAGTATCTCCTCATTTTTCAGCTGACCTGTGAGCCTCTTCCCTTTTTCATTTTTAGAACGGCATCATTTTGTACCCGTGGGTCAGGGCAGGAAAGACCCCTATTTTGCAAAAAAGTGTTTTTCAAACAGTGCAGGAACTTCAAAAGAAAGTCAGGACAATTAAGAACACGTCAGGAGAGCAGAGAGGAGTGGGAGGCTAATAAATGGCACGCTCCACAGGTTTATGAATATTTGAACTATATTTCTCAAAAAAAAAATAGTATTACTGCAAGTTATTGAAAATGAGTAACTCCCTTTAATGAACCTTGCTACCATCATGCTGACTAATAGAGTGATAAAGAGTTTAATCCATATTTATGTACATTTTATCTCATTATAGTTGGTGCCAATAAATTAGCAAGTCCAATAAGAGTTACATTTTATACCATCACTCCTATTAAATGTGCAAGAAGTACCATGCAACAGCACACCGTACGTGAGCACTGGCTTTTTATTTTATTTCTTTTTTAGGAGCCAGGCTGTACTAGCAAAGACTACACAGCACCCCTGCAGAGGACCCAGCGCTCACTCCTGCAAGATCAGACCCTGATCAGGGACGCGGCAGCATTAACAGGGGTTTTCTTCATCGGCGCGCTGCACGCTGCGCTGCTTTTGCATCCTGCAGCGGAGACAGAGCCACGGAGAAACACTTCTGCAAAACGCACTCGTGATCACAGAGAGCTTTTGAGCCATTTCAAAGGATACGATTTTTAAAAGTAAAAACATTAAGGGCCAACTTGTAGAAAACAATATAACAATATATTCTTTTAAGGTGTCTTAAAAGGGGCACAGCTAGAAATACAGGCAGTCAGTATCTCAGGTCACTTTTAGAAACCTCTGTCATGAAACACAGCACGCCCCTTGTCACAGCGGGATTGCTTAACAACTGGACATTGGGAAAAAACCTGGCTGTGAGCAATTTAAACTGGCCTCTCAACTCCCCCGGGTAACTGGGAAACGCTGCAACCAAGATTACAAGAAACATGACGCGTCTATTTGGCAAAAGCCTGCACTTGCCAATTACCTGACATCCCACGAAGGCAGAGATGGAGCTTTTCAGCTCCACAGGGACTTCGGCCGGAGAAGCCCACATGGTTCACGATCCCATTTCACCAGCTGTTATCCTGGTGACAGCAAGGAAGCAGGAACTTCCCAAGCTTAACACTTAAAGAAGTAGCAAAACCAGGGATAAAACCCCACGTTCCTGGACTCGAGCAGCCCCCGACCACACTTGCTCCTTTGGAGGAGGCTCCATCGATCCTCTGGCAGCTCCTCCTTGCTGAAGCCTTGGCTCAGAAGCCAAAGGGAGCTATGGAAAGCTCTCTCAGAGTTAACAGCTGGTCAAGGCAACACTGAGGGATCTGATTTTTCTTCCTCTTCTGAAGCACTAGTGTTTTTCTTACACTAGGAAACCCTGAAAGACCCTGCAGATTCCAAAGGAGCAGCCCTTTATGTATAGGTCAGCACCACATAAATGCAAGCCCCTGCCTTTCTACTCGGTAATTACACTGCAGCAAACCCAAATGCTATTAGTAATCGTTGTCTCACTGGCCTTCTGGTTTGGAGGAGAGAAATAACTGCTTAGAGTGGCATCCAGAAAGGAAACACCCAACACCACTCCACCAAGGTTTCTATGTAATTAAATGGTCGACTGTTACTGTGCCGCGTTCAGAAAAGTCTCCTACACGGCGTAGTGTCTTGCAACCAAAAAACACTATTGATCCAAGTAATGAATAGCTCCAGGAAGAATTTTCTGTGTGTGAAGTCTGTGTTTGGCCAGTGGGAACGTGGATTAGAGACTCCTTTTGCTCTCGCTGTGACTCAAAACGGAAAGGCGCTTTGCTCAACAGCAGATTTTTCCCTGTTTATTTGCTTTGCCACTGTTGAACACAGATCTGAGGATTATGTGGAAATGAAAGGTGGCAAAGACAATGGGGATGTTTTGACAGGCTTCCAGAGGGATCTAGGCTGGTGCAGACCTGAACAGCTGATACCCCCACCAAACTGATAAAAAACTGCATCGGGAAAAAGATCAGCAAGGTTTTTGTATAGAGAATCTATGCCTCCCAAATCTTAGAAGGTTGTATATAAGGTGGTTTGAAGATGACAATGCACATGAAAATAAGCAAGGTCCAGGCAATTTCCCAGAAGTTTGTGACAAGTTTCTTTTCCAAAGTCTCCTAAAAAACTAAATTGTCTTGGGGGTAAGAGGGAACGGCAAATCATCTCCCCTTACCAAGCCACAAACCTGAATGTCCCCCCAAAAAGTGAACAGGAGGAGGAGGGAATAGCTGTTCCCTAACCAGACCAAAAAGGAAACCAAACTGCGTTCAGCTGACGTGCTCCAGCAGTGTTTAAACGCCAGGCTCTATTAACAGGCGTCTTAGGCAATTTGAAACAGCACAAAGCAAGAGACGACGTGACAATAAAGCAGCATTTTAATTAGCAGTGGGTTCTTTCCCCAGCCCAAAAGGTTCCTTCTGTGCATTCATATCCCCAGAACAACAAAAGCCTTCTTGTATTTCATAAATCAAAAAACTCATAAAACAAGCCCCTGCAATTGCACATTCCAGATAATGGTCCAGAAATAAATTAGGCAATAAATATCAAATAATATATCCCCATCAGCAGTAAAAATCTACTCTTTGGATAATCAGAAGAGAAGATGCCTTCCAGCAGCTTATGCCTGGTACCTCGAAATAGGTAAAACAGTAGAGAGCTTTAATAAATCTTTTAACACCTTTTCCACTGAAGAATATAGCAATTGTCCTGCCTAATAGCTTCCCTGAGCCCAGTATCCATCAGAGTAACAGCACAGCCCTGATGCTGTTCATGTCAAAAGCGAGGGTATCGGAACAACAGCCGCTTGTCAAAATCGTGTAGGATTTTCCTCCCTCGCAGCTGGGTCTCGTTCAGCATTCGGTGCCACCCATCAATTACAGCAACACACAAAAACACGCTCCCTCCTCTCCCATCCAGGTGACACACGGCACAAACACAGCCAGCACCTAGGAACTGCTGGGAGAGAAAACCTCCAAACACAGTTTTCTGAAACACTCAGGGGGCTAATTTCACCCTGGCATGAAGCTTCCTGACCCCTCTGGAAACTCACTGGCCACGTTACAAAACCGACGGCCGTTTTGGTGAAGGTGTTTCGCTCGCAGCCGTGCCCAGAGGCAGCAGCTGGGGAAGGACTGTGCGAGGTCTGCGCCCACACCGGGGCAAAACCAGAAGCGCTTGTGGACAAAGGGTCCTTGCCACAGGGTTGGTATAAACCTGGGTCCAGGCTCGTAACGATTTGTAACACTGCTACAGGAGTTGCAGGGTTTAATCCCCCAGGCTGGTTTATGCAGAGCAGGGATGACGCTTAACGCCGGTTGGAATGTGCTGTGCTTACGGGGAGCTCACGGGCAAGGAGATGGTGCGGCTTTGCCCCAGTCACCCAGCGAGGCAGCTGGAGCTGGAAGAGGACCCAGAGGCCTGACCCCAGCGCGGCACCCAGTCCCCAGGGCTACAGCCTCTTCCAACCGCCCTTATGAACACATAGATACAATGTTGTGATTCCCCCCCAAAAAAAGACATTTTTCATGTACTTTAGAGGCTGATCCCAGAGGCTTTGTCATCTAAAGCAGAAAGCTTGAAGGCTTGATCTCCCTTCACTAAGGACGCAGCAGAACCAACCCCTAGATATGCAGGCTACCACGAGCACAGGGGAACAGATGCCCAGTGCATGGGAGCAGAAGCTGCTCAGAAAACCAGAAAGCCTTGGTATTTTCATCCAAAACCTGCAGCACAAGTCCAGAGAACCGCCCGGTGCCAGCAGTGCCAGAACCGTCACTTCCCAACAGCTCAGGAGTAATTCTTACCTTTCCAAAATCCCGTACATCAAAGAGGTCAAAGGGATCAAACAGATCGCTGTTTCTTAACCCAAATTTGTCGTGACACACTTTTAGGAAGGTTCGGATGTTCTTCAAACAGAGAAACTGGGGGAAACAAAAAAGAAAGGGAGGGAAAAAATGAGCAAGACAGGCACAAGTTTTAACTGAGATTTACTGAGTTAAATTCGCATGTGAGACAAGTTAACAGAACTCAGAAACTTGCACTGAAAAGCCACGCGTTAGTTTATTTGTTGTTACTGAAGATGTCAGACTCCTGGTGCCCTGTGAGGACTCCTGTGTTCTCAGCTGCGCACCAGAAACAAACGCCCTTTTGAAAAACAAGTTTCACATAAGGTAAGGTTGCAGAAGGGCTGGAAAACTTAAGCCAGGACGTTTCACTTTCAAGGTCGGAGCCAAATATAAGTTACAGCTGATGTTCTACAGAAGCCCAGTGTTGAACTTTTAACCATTTCCAGCATGATCCCATTCGGTTCCCTACAGAAGGGACACACATCGCTTATTGTCTGTATTGCTGTACCTCCGTACGTGTGCACGGATACACGCATCCCGAACACAAAGATTGGGACACTGAAAACAAGTTTTTTTGCTTTGGGGTCTGAAGCAATTGACAACTTATTCAAGTCACATTTGCTCCCTTACCCTCGCACCTCCCAGATGCTGCAGGCATCACAAACACTAACAGACCCATGACACGTCAGCCAGCCACGTACAGCCCGTTTCCAGCAGGCAGCTGCCAGTCCTGAGGCTCAGCCGCGGGAGCTGCTCCTGACCCAGCTCAGATCTCGTTCCCGAGACCAGGGCAATCCCTGGGACCGGTTCCACAAAGCTTTGCTCATCTTTAGTCTTAGCCCATTTGAAGAGGCAGAAATCTCACCCCTCTAGGGACCACCCTTGGTTATTCAGATAGCTCAACTGGCAGAGCAACATTGTGTTTCTCTTTCAAGAAAATCCTGTCTTTGGCTATAGCAATAATTGGTCATTTGTTTGTGAGCATCGGGGATTTTGAAGTCTGGGGACTCCAGACGGTCTCGCTCCAACAGTGACGCCTGGCAGCACAGGGATTGAGAGGAGAATAAAAATCTGCTTCATTTTTGCGGCTGCATCACTTACGTCCTTCACCAGAATGGATTGACTCTGCCGAGCAAGCCAATTAATTTCACTTCTTTCTGCATCCTCACGCTATTCCACAAAATACCTTCAATTTATCGCTGTATTTTTAAACAACCCCCTCTTTTTTTTTCTTCAGCAAATTCCTCACAAATACTTATAATTCTAACACATTTGTTACATAAATCAACCCATTAACGGAATGAATCATCCCCACGTGGTGAACAGGCACGGGATGCAAACTGCCTTTGGGTGGGTTTGCACGGAGTCGGTCAGTGTGGTTTTATCACATGGCAGTATCTCTGCTCCCCAAGTTGCCATCAAACCAACACCATACAAAAACACTGCTTGCAAACTTCACTGAGTGTTCAAAGCAACATAAAATAGCTTAATTTTCTTTTAATTAAAAGAATCAAAGCAGAGTCTTTGGGACCATCGCATCTCCACAGACATGACCGCGACGCATCTTACCAGCATTGCATTTGGGATTATATGTGAGGTTTGTGGCGATGGATTACCAGGACCACCTCATTAACAACAGGCTGATTCACCTACACAAAGAAAGAAGTAACTTTTTACCCTGCTCCCCCATTCCAGCCCCCTCTACGTGAAGCTGCAGAGCGACAGCAGAGCTCCCCCAGCACAGGACATTCCCATCACATCAGAGCCTCCTCATTAGACAAGCAAGTGCTGGAGGCAGAAATTGAAAACAATTCTGTTTTTCTAGGGCATTCCTCTCTCTCACATAAACACTGCAGTAAATATAATCTGTCTAGACTGAGAGGTTTTTTTGGAATCGCTTTACAACCTCTCTCGCCGATACAGGTTATTTCATAACTTTATCTTCTGGGTCTCTGCAAGAATTTACACCCTGGGCAAACCAGCTGCTTGCAGCAGGGATATATTTTCCTGTTGCATTGCAGTCTCATTGATTTCAAATTTCCAGCACGTGTTTATTTTAAATCCTTTTAAGCCTCCAGTTTTGAAAGTTAATGACACAGGTTATAGCCATAATTACACACAGCAAGAGGCAAGCTTCCTCCGCAGAACTGTCCTGCCTTTCTGCGGCGTTCGCTCCCCACCTCCTGCTCGTCCCAAGGCTGGGGCAGCAACAACGGCTGGAAGCGCTCAGGAAAGATGGACTTCCACAGCGCCGATGTTCAGCCAAGCGAAAGACCCCCAACGGGTGCGAAAACCCGAACCTTCTGCACCGATGCCTTTGTGGTTCAAATTCCTGAAAAGCTCAAAGGTCACTCTACCTCGTTTCTGAAGGATCGCCAAGAGATCACACATCCAAGCAAATGAATGCCTCGTCCTGACAGCGTTTCTAACAGGGAGCAAGCCCTGGCTCCACCACGGGTTTAGACCGGGCTGAGCTACCCCCACCTCAGCTTGGCCTCGGTGAGAAAGGACAGGACCAACCACGCTGGTCAACATCAGCTGCATCCAACTGTCTTTGCTCATCCAATTCAAACCTGGAAGCCATCAGGCCACCAGCCGCTAAATGAGCGCAAGACACCCGCAGCAGTGCCCACTGCCCTTCCCGCAGCTCCAGGTCACGTCTGCAGAAAGCCACCACGCGCTGCCACCATGCAGCCAGCCGGTGGCTGAGCGCAGGCAGATGGATGACAAGCCTCAAGGAAGAATCCGATCATCTATTTAAAGAGTTGCTGAAAAAGCCCGATGTAAAACACAATAAACCAAGGCAGCAGCACCTCGGTCCCACTCCACCAGCGAGGAGCTGGCAGCAGAGCAAGGCCACCACGCTGCCCTCAGTAAAGCCACCGCCTGGGATGACAACTGTAGGTAGGTTTAAGTCCCACTCCTCACGCACAAGAAGTCGGGGGGGTACAACCCATGTGTGGGTGTTAGTGGCACGATTTGCTCCTGCACTATTTCCCTCTCACCAATCTGCAAAACATCTTCTTGCGCTTTTGCTCACAGGCGTTTCGAGGCTGGTTTGCTGTTGATGGAAGATCATGAATTGTTGGCTTGATAGTGCTACTCTATGGCCACACGCTAAAATTGGCTACAACTGAATATGAGCTGTGCTGAGGCCATTTTATTTACCAGTCAATCACACCTTTGGATGAGTAAACTCTCCACAGGAGAAAGAGAGAGAGGAAAAAAAAAAAATTAATGTTCTCTGTGGGGCTTGCTCACCACCTGCCAGGCCTCAAATCAATGGTGTCATTTATATGCTTCGTGTGAGACCAGAGCTGAAGCAGGGTCCTGCGATCTCCTTTGGTGCAAGGGCCAGCAGAAGCCCAAGCACCGCATATCCCGAAGTCCTGCCATCGCCCTCCTCCGCACCCAAAACAACCTCGGTACCCACCAGCCATCGCTTCTGGGGATAGGCAACACCAGCAACCAGGATACTCAGTTCTGGAAATAGACCCAGAGACCACGGCATCTTCCGCGGATACCAGCATCTCCCACCGTACCGCCAGCCAGGCTCCGAAAGCAGCCACGGCACAAGTCCTCGGCATGGGGAGAGCTCCCCGGGCACTGCAAAGCGCATCCAAGGCGCATTGGAGAAGGAAATTATTAAAGTCAGAGCGAAAGGCAATGGGGACAGGGATGGGACTGTACCACAGGGAGCAAGAAACTCATCCAGTAAAACAAAATACCTTGAAACCTGCCAACAGACAAGAAGAGTCTGTGGTCAGTTCTGACCCAATCCTCTGAGGGTTGCAAGGAGCCAGCGCTACAGAGATGCAGCAGCGACAGCCCGGCTCCTGCCGTCAGCACGGCAGCAGGACCCCGCCACCTGCACTCACCGAGTTTCGGAACAGCTTTGCTTATTTTTAAACACCCTGCAACGCCGTAAGGTGAATAAACTGCTCTCAGCCACCGCCTGTCCCGCCCCAGCCCGGCAGAAACCTGCTTTGCAAAGCGCGGGGAGAGCCAGGCTGCAATTTTGGCAGCACCGCCTGTGCCCTGCCCTCGCCCAGGCAGGACCACAGTCACCCTGGTGCACCCAGGGCAGCGAGCAGCCCCCAGCACCTGGGACACGCTGGAAACTCCTCAGTAGCTTCTGGGATGTTCTTTTTTTAAAGAGGGTTTTCAAGGTATTATTTGTTTTATTGAATTCAGTAAGTTTAGAGACTCCTTGGATGATCACCATGCATATAAAGGGCATCGCTGCCAAGTTTTCAATGCAACTCAGAAACTCGTCCTGCAAACTTAAAATACGTTGGAGAATCTTTCAGTGGAGATCAAGAAAGGGACAGTTTGGTACTTGGGATAACCCCGGATACTTGGGCACTTGGGATAACTCCACTTTGCACAGGGACACTGGGAGCTTAGCGGGGACATGCCCAGCCACCCTGAAGCTCTGCTCCTGCACCCCCGGAGAGCCCCCGGGCGGGAAGGGCAGGTCGGATGTTTCTTCTGCAGTTGGAAACTACAGCTCCGGGGGCGGGAGGGGAGCCTGCGGGAGGGTGCACAGCAGCTCAGCACCTCGCTCCTCCTCACGCCCCTGTTTTAGTTACCACCGCCCCTCCCTGCGGTCCCTGTATGACTGGGCGCCCGCGGCACCTGCGCTGACTAGACAGCAGCCATTTCCAATGCAAATTCATCAGAAAAGATCCAGCTACCCGATCACGTTGGGGTTAGGCTGGAAACAGTCCCCCAGCCTCGGCGGAGATGATCGCAGGCTGGAAAGCCGCACGCGTTCCTGCCTCCCAGCAGAGCTGCTTTGCTAAATGGAAGGGGCAGAGAGGCAGACAAAAAGCTGGTGAATGCAGCAGCATTTGCTCAACAACCAAACTGCCCGAGGTGGGCTCTGGAGGACATTCATGTGAGCATTGGAGCAGTCCCTGGTCCCTGCCTTTGGGATGGCACAAGGGAGAGAAGCGCAAGGCTTGGAAGCTTCCAAGAGACATTTAATAATGTGATAAAATGTAGGAAAAGGAAAGAAATGGGGTAGATGATTTGATTTTGTCTGGCAGGGCAGGATCATGCAACAGCTCACAGCTTTTCGGAAAGGGCCTATTGGAGAGGCAGCGACTGCTGGCGGCTGGGGTTGGTGCTCCGGGGAGGAGCGGGGCTGCACACAATAGCACCGGGCAACTGGGCACACAGACCCGTGCTGCACCGCGGCCAAAC